ACCAGACCTGTGCACACAAGCAGGTAAGAAACATTTTCCCAATGCTTCCTCTTCTCTGTCCAAAGCTCCCACTGTGTGAGCTCATCTTGACTATTCCAAGCCTTCCACAGTCCAGGTCAAAGATGACCTATCTTACCTGTGTGCGAGTTAGTTGTGTCTGACTCTTGTGACCCCATGGACTGTAGCCCGCCAGGCTCCTCTGACCATGGGATTCCCCAGGCAAGAATACTGGAGTGGGTAACCATTTCCTACTCCAGGGGGTCTTCCTAACCCAGGGATCGAACTTGAGGCTCCTGAATTGCAGGTAGATTCTTTACATCTGAGCCACCAGGGATGAATCTCCCAGGCCCCAGAATGGATGACGTTCCTATGGTAGGAGGCAAGCAATCTGACTGAGACATTTCACACTTGTTTGTAGATGACAAATATACCTTAATAAACCCTGGTGGTACTTTCAATTTGGTTTTTTAATAAAGATGCTTATTAATCTGATTGTTTAGTGCTATTTTGGCTAGTAGAGTACATATATTTAAGCCCAGGGAAGCCACCAAAAACAAGAAAAAAACTTGCACTTTTTTTTTCCTTTCTTACTAGAACTGAACCCACAAATTATCTAAAGCTCAGGGGAAACAGGACTGATAGAGAGAAAGGGGAGATGAGTAATGCTGGAGGTGTGGAGTGATTATCTATATGATCTGTAAGGTGATGACTTCCAAGTTTAGGAGTTGTGGGGGAGGCAGTGTGTGCTCACAGATGTTACAAGTGAGGGTTCTGGAATCCTTTTGTCTACATTCCTGACTGCTGTTCTTTTGTTGTTGTTCAGTTGCTCAGTCGTGACCAACTCTTTGCAACCCCATGGACTGCAACACTCCAGGCTTCCCTGTTCTTCACCATCTCCCGGAGCTTGCTCAAACTCGTGTCCATTGAGTGGGTGATGCCATCCAACCATCTCATCCTCTGTCAGCCCCTTCACCTCCTACATTCAATCTTTCCCAGCATCAGGGTCTTTTCTAATGAGCTGGTTCCTTGCATCAGGTGGCCAAAGTATTGGAGATTCAGGATCAGTCCTTCCGAAGAATATTCAGGAAATTGACTGGTTTGACCTCCTTGCAGTCCAAGGGACTCTCAAGAGTCTTCTCCAACACCACAGTTCAAAAGCATCACTTCTTCAGTTCTCAGCCTTCTTTATGATCCAACTATCATATCCATACATGACTACTGGAAAAACCATAGCTTTGACTATACAGACCTTTGATGGGAAAGTAATGTCTCTGCTTTTTAATACACTGTCTAGGTTTGTCATAGTTTTTCCTTCAAGGAGCATGCATGCATGCATGCATGCTAAGTTGCTTCAGTCGTGTCCGACTCTATGCCACCCCATGGACAGCAGCCCACCAGGCTCGTCTGTCCATGGGATTCTCCAGGCAAGAATACTGGAGTGGGTTGCCGTTTCCTTTAAGGAGCAAGAGTCTTTTAATTTTGTGGCTGCAGTCACCATATGCAGTGATTTTGGAGCCCAAGAAAATGTAGTCTGTCACTGTTTCCATTGTTTCCCCATCTATTTGCCATGAAGTTATGGGCCCAGATGTTATGATCTTAGTTTTTTGAATGTTGAATTGTAAGCTAGCTTTTTAACTCTCCTCTTTCACCTTCATGAAGAGGCTCTTTAGTTCCTCTTCACTTTCTGCCTTAAGGGTGGTGTCATCTACTTATCTGATATTACTGATATTTCTCCTGGCAATCTTGATTCCAGTGATAACTAGTATATTAAACAGTCTCTTCATTTGTAAAATGGGTCAACAATACATCTATCTCTTGATGTACTGTGAAGATTAAGGAATAATGAAGGTAAATTGGTGAGCAAAATGCTTGCCACCGAGCAGCAGCTCAAAAATGATAAATATTATGCACATGAACTTCTGATAAAACATGTTGGTGGAAAGGAGAGTAAGAACAGAATCTAAATCAGAGTGATGGTGAACATCGCATGTTAGGTTTGGGGCCACACTTTGGTTACAAAGTGCAGAATCAGACTATGAAAATAAGGGGTGGTGGCAGAGATGGTCCAAGCTGCAGGAAATTGTAAAGTGTCCACAAGGAATCATCCCTTCATAAACATTCAGATGATTCTCAGATGCTTGAGTATCTAGTCCATACCAGAACAACCTGCTACTTTTCTCACATGACTTGTGATGGTAAATGTTCACCTTCTTATCATTTGTATTCATGTTTATTAATGTGGCATCTCAGCTTTTCAATTCAACACCCCTCTCGCTATGCTGTATTCACTGTCATTCCACAGTCAGCAGAGGACACAGCATGGGCTGCCAGTACTGATGTCAGACCGACATTAGCAATGAATGCAAGCCTGCCGCCAAACCAGTGGTTCTCAACCCAGGGCAGTTTCGCCTCCTCAGGACTTTGGCAATGTCTGGTTGACACCACCAAGCAAGGGTGTGGGGCAGAGGATACTATTGGTACCTAGTAGGTAGTAACCAGAGATGCTACGAAACATCCTACAATGCCCAGGGCAAAAAATTATTTGCCTGAAAACAGAAATCTTGCCCTTAAACTTTTCTTTTCTTAACCTTTCTGGTTCTCAATTCCCCTATTAAATTCAGCCACTAAATAATATGCATGATCTGCCAACTCTGACATTCTAGGAGGCTTTTTACCCCCCGACCTCCAAGAATTTTGCTTCTAAAATTAACCAACAAGGAGTGGTTCAGACAGACTTTTCTTTTACCTACAGAGGCCAATCCAGTCTGCTATAGCTTTTCTGTGGCCTCAGCTGTAGCATTTCATCAACAGCTTCTTAGTTGGTGATGCAGTGGGGGTGGTGGGACAAGTCTTAAGAGAAACCTACACCCAAAGTGAGCAGGAATTTCTCATTCATGGTTCATGATGAGCTTTCCCTGTTTCTCAAAACCAGTTTGGTTTGACGAGGATCACCCTGTTGATACTAGTCCACCCTATGAAACTGACAGGCCCACACACCTTTGGTGAAAGAATGTGTTTCTTACCCATTATCTGAGAACCTGTGAGCTACTTAATATATATACTGATGGAGGATTTCTGGCACATGCTTATCTGAACAAAGGCCAATTATATTCCAAGAACTAGCAAAGGAATGCATTAATTGATTTAAGCAATTAAAGTCCCTACCACAAATAGACAACAAATGCCACCAACACAGATGAAAGAACACCATCCAGGGACCTCAACAAGGCACTAAAAAATCTAATCAGTGACAACTTTTGAAAGGCCAGTTCAAAACACGTAATCCTTTTGGACATCAAGGGAATCTTCTCAATCTGGCAAAACAGTTACATAGTGAAGGTCATGGGGCTTTCTCAGCCACAGAAAGGAGAGAAGTAAAAGCAATTAGACAAAATGGATGCTGTAATCCCACTTTCCAGACCCCAGAGCCACACTAAACACTGAGATTCAACTTTTCCACTTCACTATTCAGGATCTGGCAGCACTTCCCAAATGAGAATGCCATAGCTTGATTTCTTTCTTACCAATTCTGTCTGGATGTTTCTTAGCCATGTCTAGAGCCTGGGGTAGAGAAAGAAAAATTTAAAAAAAATCACTAAACCATGGATGTTGCTATAAATTGATCAAGTAATTTGGAATTCCAAAGTACTATTGCTGAAAACTGCCCTGCTTGAAACTACTCCCCAGCAGAAGTAAAACATCCAGATTCATGGACTGCCACTTCCCAATCAGGTGGAAATCCACTGAGTAATAGCATCAGTACCACTTGGAGGCTCTTTTTTACAAGCAGGTTCTCAGACTCAACCCCAGACCTACAGGATCAGAATCTGCATCCACAGTAAAATTTGAAAAAGAATGCTCTGCAGGTCTTTCAGGAGTAGTTTATTTTTTGCCTTCCCTCAGCCTGAGTTTCCCCAATTGGAATATGGAAATATAACAAAGCGCATACAAAGAGAAAAACAACAACAACAACGGAAGGAAGACAGTTCACAGGAGTGCGGGGGACTTTGGGGGAACTTCTCCAAGTTCTACACTGTGCAGTTTTTAACAGTGTAAGATAGGGTTACTTCTTTTGTAATGGGGGAAAATAATTTTTAAATACAGCTGACGCTCTCTCAAAGTATTGTACTGATTTTTAAACGGACCAATGTAGCAGGGCCCAGCACCATACTGCAATGCAGCTTAAGTCGAAGGTGTTAAATGAACTGGATGGAGCCAGCCTGCACCCGTGCACCCGGTGAGCAGCTCTCGTCTCCGAAAATTGGCCCTCATACATTCGCTCTCAGCACCTGGAAACCTTGGCCTGGCAAACTTCGGGATCCGCTGAACCTCGGATCTGACCCGTAGTTGCTGGAGCGTCCCGCCGACTCTGTAACTTTCCCTGGAATGAAATAAATAAATAAAGACCGTAAGTGCTGAAATAGCGGACCCCACACTAATCTCTCTACAGGAAAGAGGAGGCCGGGGAGTGGAGTCAAAAGTCGTAGTCTGGCCCGGACAGGGCTCCAGGGAAACTAGTTTGAGCGGCTGCAGCATCCTCAGCGGCTAACTCAGTGAGCTTTCTAGGCTGTCATTTTGTCTCCTGTAGCGAAAACTGCAAGTGAGAGAGGAGTGGAGTTTCCCGAGAGAAGGGCTCAGGCTGGCGTCCTGGGCGGGCCAGTCCCCTTGGCGAGCTTCTGGGTCTCCCCTCTTTCCTCCGCCTCCCTCCGTCCCTCCCTCCCTCTCTCTCTCTCTCTCCTCCCTTCCTCCCTTTCTCCTCCCTTTTGCGTCGGGCGGGCGGGAGGCCGCCGAGGCAGAATGTTCTTGCGCACGCGCTCGCGCAATTACGGCCGAGGAGTTCTGTTCCTCGGGCATTTTCCGAGGAAGTCTGGAGCAATTAGGCTCAGTCCGGGGAGAGCCAGCGAGCGAGCGGGCGGCGCTGCCGGCGCGTCTGGGCTGCCTCGCAGGGAGGGAGGGGGCGGCCGGCCGCCCGGCGGCGACCCCGGGCCCCGGCCGCCACCATGGGCTTCGAGCTGGACCGCTTCGACGGCGACGTGGACCCGGACCTGAAGTGCGCTCTGTGCCACAAGGTCCTGGAGGACCCGCTGACCACGCCGTGCGGCCACGTCTTCTGCGCCGGCTGCGTGCTGCCCTGGGTGGTGCAGGAGGGCAGCTGCCCGGCGCGCTGCCGCGGTCGCCTCTCGGCCAAGGAGCTCAACCACGTCCTGCCGCTCAAGCGCCTCATCCTCAAGCTGGACATCAAGTGCGCGCACGCGGCGCGCGGCTGCGGCCGGGTGGTCAAGCTGCAACAGCTGCCCGAGCACCTCGAGCGCTGCGACTTCGCGCCCGCGCGCTGCCGCCACGCGGGCTGCGGCCAGGTGCTGCTGCGGCGAGACGTGGAGGCGCACATGCGCGACGCGTGCGACGCCCGGCCGGTGGGCCGCTGCCAGGAGGGCTGCGGGCTGCCCCTGACGCACGGCGAGCAGCGCGCCGGCGGCCACTGCTGCGCGCGGGCCCTGCGGGCGCACAACGCCGCGCTGCAGGCCCGCCTGGGCGCGCTGCACAAGGCGCTCAAGAAGGAGGCTCTGCGGGCCGGCAAGCGCGAGAAGTCCCTGGTGGCGCAGCTGGCCGCCGCGCAGCTGGAGCTGCAGATGACCGCTCTGCGCTACCAGAAGAAGTTCACCGAGTACAGCGCGCGCCTAGACTCGCTGAGCCGCTGCGTGGCCGCGCCGCCCGGCGGCAAGGTAGGCGCCCGCCGCCCGCCCCGACCCCCTACTGGCCTCGGGGCGCCTCCCAGCCTCTGTGGTCTTGGGGTTACCGGGAGCATCTCTGCCTCCCACTTCTAACACTCATTGCTAGATAGATCGCTTTGAGCCGGTCGGGGAGTCAGTCTCACCTTGGGAACTGTTGTCCTTACAGATTAAACTCAGGCTGAATTATAGATGCAGCAGCTCCATCGGTTCTGGAAAAACTAAAAGGAATTCGAGAGCAGCGCAGAGTTAAGAGCGAGTGTGGCTCTTGAGTCAGAACCCCGCAGGGGCTTTGGTGCAGACCAGATGGATGATCATGAGCAAGTCGTTTAACCTCTTTGAAGGTTGGGAAACAGGGTTCCTCTACACGTGAGGGAGGAGATAAGATACTGACACAGGGGATGTTAACTATACCCATGCACCCTCAGGCGGCCCGGAAAGAATCAAAGGAACCCACAGCCCAGCCTTGGAGACTAGGTTAGCAAGGTTGCCAGAGGAGAGGCCGCTGGAGTAAAAGCTGGATTCCAGTGTGAGCTTTGCTGCCAACTAGCTGGCTGACCTTGAGCAAGCTGCTTAAGCTCTCTCAAGTTGGAAAGTAGGGCCCTAGAGATGTGACACAGGGGGTGAAACACTGCCAGGCCCCTCCTGTGGTATTCCTCCAGGGATTGAAAGGATTCCAGAAAGAATTAAAGGAACCGCCACCAAATATAAAGTAATAATTGGCAATGAGGCCTCTGGAGTTAGAACTGTTTTTCGAGTCTGGGCTCTTGGCTAATGTTGTGGCTTGATCTCCAGGTGCTTCAGTCTCTCTAAATGTAAAATAGATTCTTTGCCTGCTTCAGGGAGAGAACATATGAAAAGGATCTAGCAAGTTGCCCTGTAGAGAGCAAATTCTCAACAAGTGTTGCCTGTAATTATCTTTACCTCCTCCCCTTGTAAGCCATCCCCCTGTCCTGGGAGTTGGTGTAATTACAACAGCCACTACTGCTGGAGGCTTGCCTTGCTCCAGGCCCTATGCTAAGCTCTTGTGCTTCTCAGCTGTTTCCTTTTTAATCAAGGGAGGCAGGTTGCTTCTCGTTTTGCAGACGAAGAGAACTCAGGACCAGTGAGGGGCAGCCCTGGCCCTGAGTCATGGCTTCGAGGTGGCAGAACTGGGTTCTGAACCCACGGATGCCCAAGCTCTTAACCCCCATCGTGTCGCTTCTCAGTGTAACCACAAGTACCATTTACTGAGGGTTTATTATGTACCAGCCACAGTAGCAAGCACTCTGCATGAGTTCTGTATGTAGTCTTCTGAGATGAGGAAGCAGGCGCAAGTCCCAGAACTTGTCCAGAGTCAAACGGTGACTCAGGAGACAGCTAGGATTGAGGTTCCACCTCAGTCGTCAGCCTTGGGCATTTTGACATTTTGGACCCCCAACTTCTTTGCTATAGGAGGCCGTCCTGTGCGCTGAGAGGCCTCCTTAGCACACTGGATTCCAGTAGCACCCCCCACCCCCAGGTGTGACCACCAGAAACATCTGCGTGTGTTGTCACGTATTCCCTGAGGGGACACAGTCCCCTAAGAGAACCAGGGTTTGCCGTGATTGCAGAGGCCACCTTTTCACCAGCCGGTGAGGCACCTGGGCCATGCTGCTGCCTCTCTGGTCGCCTGTTGCAGGGGAGGAGAATGTGTGTGCCTGAGGCTCCCCAGGGGCCTGCGTCTGCTTTGCCTCTCTGGCCCCTCTCCCCAGCCCCCTCTCCCATAGCGCACACCGACTCCCCCCTCTCCCCTCCACCTCGTCTTGGCCGGCCCCGCCCGCCCCCCAGGCTTGTCTGTCAGCTGCAGCCCCAGCAGCTGGCCGGCTCTCGGCGAAGGGCAAATATTTACAGCTCTGAGGCTCACCCAGGACCGCACAGGCGTACAAAAGACTGGTGTGAGCCTGTAAGTCCCCAAAGCAGGGGGCCAAGCTCTGTCTACAAGCAGGCGCCGGGCTTGGGGTGAAGGAGTTCCCGGAGTTTCTCCTGTTTATGCTGTCATCTGGACTTCCTGTGGAGTTTTACGTGATGCTTATTTATAAACAAGCCCTTCACTTCCCCGGAGTTTATACATCATTCATTGTTAAGCTGGTTTATTATTTCTTCTTGCCTTTCTGTTTTCTTTCTGGAGTGTTTGGGTAAACTCCCTCTCTCGGAATCAAAAATATGATACTTGAATCAAAATTGTGGATGTTTTTGAAGTTCTGTTGGGTGAGTCAGGAGGATAATCAGGGGCATTAAGCTTGGGGACAAGATGTTGCTTTCTGAGCTTACAGACAAAAGTTTCCTTCTGGAGTTGGAGCGCTGCGCAGGACTTTCATGGACCTTAGTGCTGGCTTGAGAACAGCCAAGAAAGGCCTGGCCTGAAAGCTGAACTCATTTTTCAGGCCTCAAACCCTGGCTGTCTCAGCCCAGGCCTTAGGGGAAAGCGTGCTGCTTTTGCCTTAAAGTTAACCCCTAGTCACCCTTGGGGAGAGCTTTTGCTGTTCCTGCATCTGCCAGACAGACCCCCCTCCCAATGCAAGCTGTTTAAGAACTTGTTTATTTCATTGGCGGGACTCTCTGCTCCCACCGGGTACTGTTTATTCTCTTCTATAAGGCAGAAGGATTTATATTCCTTGGAAACGGGCATGCACAAACACTTTTATTATTTTTTTTTAAAGTCCTATCGCTTACCTCTCTGTTAAGAGCTCAAGTAGATAAGAAACACTCAGAAGATTTTCCATACCCCTCTTCAGGGCTTTAGAACTTGTACCATAAAATGATCTGGCATTATTTAAATAATCTTAGATTGCAATTTTTGATATCCGCTGAACAGAGGAGTCTGGCAGGCTATAGTCCATGGGGTCACAAAGAGTGGGATACCACTGAGCAACAAACACTTAACCATTCAGGGTTTGGAGCTAGGGTTTCTTCTGCTCTGAAAGGTGAGTTGGAACAGGTCTTCTCAAACCTTCATATGATTGGAATCACCTGGAGATGAAACAAGAGATTCCTGAATCTCACCTTTGGAGATTCTGCTCCATCGGGCTGGTATGGGGTGTGAGGTTCTGGTAAGTTCCCAGCTGATGCTGGACCACCTAGCACGTTTGGGTAACTGCTCAGCTAGAAAGAGAGTTTAGGCTCAAGTAGAGACGTAGACCAACATGTGTTCTTTTTCTTCACACAGTTATGATTTTACTGATCATTGTCTAAACATCTCTTCCTGAGTATTTTATGAAGGACCAGTGCATAGTTCTCAAACCCAGAGCACCTAGTGGTTGTATGATAGGTAACATGACCCAGAAAGGCATCTTGAACCAATCTGCAGCCCTATCTGGGCTACAGCAGACTTGGTGAAACTATACTCGAAGATGTTAAAGAGTTTGGCGCCCAGCCTCAGTTTCCCACCCTGACTTACCACCTGATTCTAAGAACAAAGGCATTCCACAGCAAAAAAAAAAAAAAAAAAATCTTTGACTTTCTGGGAAAGGGAAGGTTCTGGGCATAACTTTGCTTGGTATTTTTGAGAACCTTGAGACTGAGCCTCAGTAGCATCTACTCTTTTACCCCCACATCCAGTCTTTCATTAAACCTGGTTGATTTTACTTCCTGAATCTCTTCACTACTCTCCAGCCCCATCAGATCATCGCTTTGGTCCAAACCAGGATTTCCTGACCTCAGCCCTGTTAGCATCTTGAGCTGAATAATTCTTGGTAGTGCATGTGTGTGTGTGTGTTGTGTGCATTACAGGATGTGGAGCAGCATCCCTGGCCTCTGCCTGCTAGATGCCAGGAGCAATTCCCACATCGTGACAATCACAGATATCTCCAGGCACTGTCATTGTCCCCTGTGGGACATAAATCAGCCCTGGTCTCAACCCCCATCACCTCTTACCTAGACCACAGCTGTTCCCTCTCTGTATCTTCTTGCTTCCTCCCAGTGACCTCGAGCTGGGAATCATCTCTTAGAAATGTAAGTCTGATACCCTGCCCAGTCACGAAGTCATGTTTGACTCTGCAACGCCATGAACTATGTAGCCCACCAGGCTCCTCTTCCCTGGGGTTCTCCAGGCAAGAATACTGGAAGGGGTTGCCATTTCCTCTTCTACGAGATCTTCCCGACCCAGGGATCAAACCCACATCTCCTGCATCGGCCGGTGGATACTTTACCACTGTGCCACCTGGGAACTTAAACCCTGCTGGGCCTTGAGTTTCTCTTGGATGGATGTAAGGTGAAGCACACTCTGGGTCCTGCCTGCCTGTACTCTGCTTTGCTTTCCTTCCCAGGTTCTGTCGTCTCTGGGAATAGATCCATGTGCTCCTTCCTGCCCGTGGGCCTTTGCACTTGCTCTTTTTTCCCCTAGGAATAGTCTTTCCAGGTGCTCATCACTAGGTAACCTAGGTAACCAGCAGGTTTTCCAACTCTTCACCTTCTACCCCTTGCCTTTCTGTCGGCAGTTAGGGTTTGCGCTTGACTAGATAACCTTTCTGTCCTCCCACCATCATTACCTGCGGAAAGCCCTTGCTCTCTGGCCTGACAGACTAGAGCTGGTACCCTGAGACCCTCACTTTGGTGCTCCGCCTGCATGGCCTTCTTCACTGCTGTAACTGAATGATGGGAAGAGCTGTTCGTTGTCTGTGAGGGACGATAAAGGAAGGACCACATGTGCATTCTTCAGGGCTGTGTCCCGGCACCAGTTCGGTTACCAGGTGCCCTGTGAGCTTGCGATATATTTTCAGTGAATAAACTCAAGATCGAAAGGGCTGTCTTGTCAGCCGTCAAAACTTTTCAGATTGCTGACCAAGAGTGAGCTTGTTAGCTCACTCTTAAAAAAGAATGAGATTTTCCTTGACCTGCAAGTGAGCAAAATTGTTTCCAGGTTTGTGGGAGGCATGCTTTTTGTTTCCCTGAGATCTATCTACCCAGATCAAATTGTATAAAGCCCCAAATCCCAGAAACGATTTTGTCCGTTTCAGAACTCCTGGGATAAGTGA